AACTCCTGCATTACCTCACTTATGCAGTTTCTCAAGCAGCTCCCAGGCTATTAAAGGAGAGCCGGAACAGGATTGGTTCAGTCTTTGGAATCTTTAATTTCACCGCGGCCCCCCAAATGTTAGGTCTTTGTCTCATTGCTGATCCCTGGCTGATCTATGGTGTTGTCTTTATCCCGCCCGCGGTCCACTGCGGCCGTGTGTTGTGTTATTGGGTCAGGTGAATCTATCAAGGACAGAGAGCCTGGGCAGTTCACACACCGGGGGGATAATTACAGGGTGATTGGTTTCCTCGCGCTCTCTGCTCCTACTATCTGTGTCTCCTCTCTGTTAGCCGTGCCCTCGCGTAGACGCACTCAGCATGTCTGCCAAAAAGCCGCCTAGTCCCGGGGACCTCGGCCCTCCTACCTGTTCTGTCTTGGGGGGCTTTGCTTTTAAACAGCTGTGTTTGTTTAATAGAAAACATGCGCTGCATTGTTTACAGATTGTTTGCGGGTTTATTCACACCAGCGCGATTGGCTGGGACTCAGAAGACGGCTAGCTTTAATTTGCCGCCACCGTTTCTACTGCTATTATTAACCTAACCTTTTGCCATGAATAATTCATCACAGTTACCGTCTGATCTCACACATTTTCTGTCTCATTTGGCCTTGAATCGTCTCATCTGCTGGTCCGTTCTGGGTCATAACAACACGTTCTCACAATCAGCTGGTTCAGAGGGAACAACCGTTATTTTATAAAACTAGTTACAGATCATTTAAAGGGCTATTTTGACATTTTGGTAAATACTCACATTCCTTCTCGTTGAAAGATAGTTGGGAGAAGCAATGTAAATGATATCTATTCATCTCTAATACAGATCTATCATCACATACACACTGGATCTGATATCAGCAAAAGAGTCAAAACGTCTGTCTGAAAAAACTCATTTTCATACATTTTGTTATAAATCCTTCATGACATTAAAAATCGCTGATGTAATATTCATGTCTGAACTAAGTTGTTTTGTGTCTGTACTGCTGTATATATCCTAGCAGAGGGTCAGCTGACCCTCACCTTGCACCTCGCAGGTCAGGCCAGAGTTTATAGTCCTTATGCTAAGCTGTAGCTTCACATTTAAAGTGACACATGAAGTATTTTCCAAAATGCTAAATTCTGAGCTATTTCTTTAACTCTTTAAATAGATGTTTGAAACATATTGGACACAGCTTTCATTACTGGGAGCTGTTTGCTTTTGAAAGCGTGTAACGTATAACCTTGTTTTTTCTTCTGTTTTTTTTTTTTTGTTGGAAGGGGGCTTTCACTTGTTTATGAGGCACTATCGATCCCTGGTGCTGACAAGTATGTTACACAACCTCTCACCTGCATGTGATCTTGATGGAAATCTCTGGTCCTCCTGTTCACACTGACCGAGAGGCACCCAGCTATTTGCACCTCTTGACTTTGAAAGCTGTCAACGGAGCAGCAGAACTACTTTCAGCGCTCTGGACGGTTCCTCCGCAGAGACCTGCAGGGTGTTCCAACTGGACACTCTCACCTCAGCCCAAAGTCTGACAGGGGACTCCAAGGCCGAGTCCCACACTGAGATTTGCCTCTTGCAGACTATGGTGTGTGTGTGTGTGTGTGTGCACGTGCGTGTGCGATGAGTCCACGGAGTCGACCAGCCCTTCCCCCGCGCGCATCACACACCCAGAGCCATTCTATCTGTATGGAAATTTGGGCTCCACAGCTGGAATCCTACAAAGCACTGTCATCTACTAATAGTTATTATCTCTTTGGCCTGCTCCCTCACAAAAACCCTGCAATACAAGCACATTGCATCTTTATGGTAATGCCCCACAATATAGCCCCCAGCCATGGTGCATAGACCTTTGTTATCATTACGATAATTCCCATTCTCACTTGACTCCTCATTACACCACTGAAACTGCTCGGGGTTGGATATGGACAAATTCCTGCATCTTTCTTTATTACACTGATAGTGTTTATACACAAACTTAAACTCTCCAAATAAACACAGTGAAGCAGTCGGTGTGATGACAATTAAGCAGAAGATTTGTCATTATGAATTAGCAATAGAAAGGGCCTGTGTGCCGATTCTGTTGTATTTGTTTGTGGTATGGCTAAATAAAACTGTAATATAAATATAATGTTGTTTTTGCAAATCTCTTCATTAATGATTCCATACACTTAAAATAACAGAATGCATTGAGCTAACTTACTGTGAAGCACAATGCATTATTTCTTTTCTTTTCAACAAATGCAAGAAAATCTTTACTCATCTCAGCTCATCGAGATGGTGAAATCTGACTGTCTTATTTTCAACACATACTTTGCATTCTGTTTAACGTATCCTCTGCTCTCCGATTGCATTGCACCCTATGTGAGGGTGTTTTCCACAATCAAGTAGTCAGGGTAGCAGGTGATTTACTATAAATATAAATATATAAATATATATATATATGGAGCGAGCTAAGGGTCCGCTCCATGTAAGAAGCGAAGCACAGAGAGACACGGACCTCGCTGTGGCTGCTCGTGTCCTTGCGTCTCCCCATGAATGCCCACACAAGGCCTCCGGATTGACACAAAAAAGTAATTGCGGAGTGATTGGCACAGCTTGTCCCGTGCAGCCTGCGTCCCGCACTTGAAGGCTCTCCTCGGAGCACCCTCATTGTCACACAGCCTTTTAGCACCTTTGTTCCTACCTTCCCACAGGACCTCACAGCTCACCATTGGCAGATGAGTCCCTGCCTGTGACAAAAGGGTCCCTGGGCTCAGCCTCATTTGATGCAGGGAACAACTCCCCCCCCCCCCCTCTCTCTCTCTCACACACACACACTCACACATACTGCACACCACCTTCTGGGAGAAAAAAATGTTCCGTTTAGCGGTGGAGGATAGGGGGGTCAAGACCCGGGGGTGGGCTTTTTTTGGAGGCAGATAAACATCGGAGGAGTAGAGGAAGGATGTCTTGTTTACACATTAGCAACCATTTAGCAAGTCTCACTGTTTTCACTGCCTCTCAACAGCTGATCTTTCTGTTTTGTTAATCTTTGAGTTGATCTGGAATAGAATCTGTGATCATTTTTATCATCCGCAAACAAGCAAACACACACGCGCACACACACACACACAAACTGCATCTTTCTAATACCATCTAATGAGGTGATGACCAACCACTTGTTATAATTGCTTCAGTCTCCTTTTAATTTTCAAGCTTATTAATCATATGTAGAGTTATTTAAGAATGCATAAATTAATCTTAGATTAAAAAGCCTATCAAATCCTCAAAACAATTAAAGAGTAAGGTAAGATTTCCCCTGGGCTGGGACTTTTATTTTAATAGAGTGTTCAGGTGATTATCATACTTTGATGCAGCACTGTGATTAATGCAGACACACTTTTAAATGAGCTGTTCTCCCTTGCAGAAAAAGGTAGAATAAGCATTAGCCTTATGATGACCTTACTGAATTCTTGGGTTACTTTTCTCACTTATCCGTACACCTCTCATAGTGACTGAGTCGCTCTGAGTTCATTCGGAAATATGGATTTCAAAATATTTTTAATTTTAAGGTTATATTTGTAATCCTGTCAGCTGAAAGGACATCTGTCCAGTTGGAGTGTTTACACTGTAAAAATAAAGATTTGAATCGATCTGATAGAAAGCATTACTTTTACTTATGATGCGATGAGAATTAAGGTTTACCAGGTCGTACTGTTCAGTAATCAATAGATGGCTTGATAGCTGCTTTATTTGAATGTTAACATGTTGGATCACAGTCTGGTCATGTACCTGGGCTTTTGCTTTAGAGCCAAATGCGTCGTCACATAATATTTACACGGGGTGGTTCTGAAACGTGTGTCATCCTTAAAACAAGTTCTTTATATTATCTTACAAGTCGAATTTAAATCATTACCTCTTTAAGGTTTCAACTCATTTTTCTATACAACATTATTGTTATTGCTGTAAAAATGTGTTCATTACCATCAACATGTTTTACGATGAAATTCATTTTTTTGGACCAAAATGTCATTATTTTAAATTCAGCCATTCACTGAATATATGCAGCCCAAGAACTTAAATGAACAATATGCTCATTTCCTCTGATGAGTAAATACTGATGAAGTACTGGTCGTCCCTGCTGTCCAGCTCCGTCCCTCTAGAGTCCATCGGACGGAAGAAGTGTCGAGTTTCCTTCATCAATATTCCATCAGTGCTCGGGGCGAGCGTGCAGCCAAATAACAACGATTCGCCAAAAGCTTTTTGGACTCCAAAAAGTTAAACGCACGTCGCTCACGGTGCGGGCTTGTGCCGCTTAGTGATCTTCCTTCTTTTGCAGAAAACAAAGCGCGGACCACAGAGAATGACCTTTAGAGCAGCTGGTTATTGTCAAAACGCATGTAGGGGATGTGCTGCTTGTAAAGGATGAATCCGTGGGAACGCAGCACGTGTTGGAGGCCTGCACGCCGCATCCATCAGCGGGCCCCGACTCCGTGCACACAACAATGCGTCCGAGGGTCCCTGCTGGTTTAAGCGGCGTGTCAAATCCGAACGGCAGCCTCCTCCGTGCAAGTTATCAATAGTGATGTTTTTTCAGGGAAATGCAAAATAATTGATTAAATGTAAGGCTGTCGACAGACTGCTCGGCAGAGTAATTGCGGATTAATGTTAATTTGATTTATTTTGGAATACATTTGAACATATAGGCTGCATAAGCATCATGTTAAGGTAACGTTTTTTTTTCTTCTTTTTGTTTGATTATTGTACACTTCCATAAACCATAAAACGTGTAGAGCTGCAGGCTACTAAAAGACCCTCGATCCAAACCGTCTTCATTGGTCCTGAATCCATAGTTAACGCAGACTGTGTGTGTGGGTGTGTGTGTAAGGAGGGGGGGGGCCTCCCCACAGATTTCTCCGTCACTTAATTCCCTTTTGCTTCTAAGAGGGGGGGGGGGGGGGGCTGTACTTCAGTCTGCACGCCATGTGGACACCGGTGCTGCTGCTGCTGCTCGCTCATCGCAAACCACCCGCACGCACGCACGCACGCACGCACATCGGAGCAGTGTGAGGGGAGGACGGTGCTCCACGGACAACTGCGTCCCACTCCTGAGAGCAAACATCTTTTACGACCTCCAGCACCGACTTCTGATCGCATCCGACTTTCACCCGATCACAGCTTTCTCATTCACGGCGGAGGGGAGCTGCGCGGACATTTGAGGTGAATTTCTGGAAACTGATTTCGACGGTACAGTCTGTTTGTGTCATGACTTTAAAGCATCTATTAGATTACCAGAAAAAAAAGAGGTGACGCTAAATCGGTTTGAATTGTAACGTGCAATTATTCCGAATTAAAACCTTTGCTGACAGTTAAAAGGGGGGAAGTTGCTGGCAAGTCGTATATTCCTTTGGCACGCGGAATATATCATTTGCACCTTTTTAAAATAATGTTTAAAAACGAGCTGCTTTACTCTTGTTTGGTTTCAAAATGTAAAAAAAAAAAATCTTGTTAATGCAATTTTCTCAAAATGTAGGCCTGTAATTTTCTATCCTCTCTGTTGTCATGTTCAGCAGATCACGAAGTGGTGACCTAAAAAGCTCCGTTAATGGTTTATTATAAAAGCCTGACTTGGGGCTATTATATTGCTGCAATCTGACACATTTTAATAACGAACGTCGCCTGTGCAGCTTTCAGGCCTCCAAGGATGGACTCCATACCTGCGGGACGAGACGCCAGCTCTTCACCAAACTCCAAAGAACTTTCCTACCCGACCACCAAGAACCTGAAGCCCAACCAGGTCGGAGAGACGGTGCTGTACGGAATACCGATAGTGTCTTTGGTGATAGATGGCCAAGAGAGACTCTGCCTCGCACAGATATCAAACACGCTGTTGAAAACCTACAGCTATAACGAGATACACAACCGGCGCGTTGCGCTGGGAATCACCTGCGTCCAGTGCACGCCTGTCCAGCTGGAGATCCTGCGGAGAGCCGGTGCGATGCCCATCTCCTCCAGGCGCTGCGGGATGATCACCAAACGCGAGGCCGAGAGACTATGCAAGTCCTTTCTGGGAGCTCATGCGCCGCCTAAGCTCCCAGAAAATTTTGCTTTCGATGTTTCCCACGAATGCGCCTGGGGGAGTCGAGGTAACTTCATCCCGGCCAGATACAACAGCTCCAGGGCCAAGTGCATCAAGTGCTTCTATTGCAACATGTATTTCTCACCAAATAAATTCATATTTCATTCGCATCGCACCCCTGAGTCCAAATACACTCAGCCGGACGCAGCTAATTTTAATTCTTGGAGGCGGCATCTCAAGCTGTCCGATAAAGGGAGCCAGACAGACATACTGCACGCGTGGGAAGACGTCAAGGCCATGTTCAATGGGGGCAGTCGCAAGAGGACGCTGCCCGGCTGCGGGTCCGAGTCCGGCTCTTCCCTAAAATCACATGGACACAGCCGTCCCCGCGAGTCACCCGACGTACCTGCAAAAATCCTCAGCAGCGAGGACAACCGGGGAGGCATGCCGAGCACGCGCAGCTACCCGGTCATACCCGTGCCCAGTAAAGGCTTCGGGATGCTGCAGAAGATCCCGCCGCCGCTCTTCCCCCACCCGTACGGCTTCCCGGCTTTCGGCCTGTGCCAGAAGAAAGACGACGGCGCGCTGGGAGAGCAGAGCAAAGCGGGCCTCCCGGGCGTCCTGTGGCCCGGTACCAAGGACAGCGCCTATCCTACCTTCCCCATGTTCTGGCCCGCGACGGGCGCGCTGCCCATGCCTCCGTACCCCCATGCTCATCACAAACCCCCAGCAGAGCTGCTGTGTCCTCCGAGACAGACCGACATGGACATCTCCGAGCACAGCGACCGGAGCACCAACACGTCCAAAGACAGCATGGTGGACAACGACCGGTGCTCCAGCACCCAGTCGGCGCGCAACGAAGACGACAAGTCGGGAGACGAGGCGAGGCCGCTGGAGGGGATGCCCCTCGCGCCCCGGAAAATCAGCTACGTCTCCGCGTTCAGACCCGTGATTAAAGACGCCGACTGCATCGCCAAGCTGTACGGCAACAGGGGCGCGTACAACGGGGGTCGGACCGGCTATTTATCACCGGATTTTTTGAGCGAGAGCTCGAGCTACAGGTCCGTGTCCCCCTGCGCGGACAGCGAGGGCGAGCCGGACGTGGACGTGGAGTCCAACAAGACCCCGGAGGAGGAGGAGGAGGAGCAGCAGCCGGAGGAGTCCCGGCCGCTGCTCGCTGCGTGCTCCCGGACTCTCGGAGGCTTGGCTCACAGCGTCTCCCCAAGCGGCTCAGACTCCAGGAGCCTGCGGCAGAGCAGTCCGCTCGATTCCCCGAGAATGAGGCTCCTGCACGCGGCCCCGACGTGTGACAGAGAAGTGCAGAGCAAGCAGATCTCAGAGACCCACATGGCCGCGTCTTTCACCGAAGTGAGTGACTTAGAACCGAGAAACGCTGCGGTAATGTGACGATCCGCAAATGGGTTTCTTTCCTTGGCTGTTTGTGTGTTTTCAGCAGATGCTTCCGTGCTCTTGTGGCAAAATGTCTTTTATGTTAAAACAGTGAAAAACAGTAAAACTTTATTTAAATAAAAGTGTACACACTGCAACGTATAGAGTTTATTTTTAATTATTATTTTTGTTTAGTTGTAATTTAATTTTGCGAGACCTTTTTGCCATTTGAAGAGTTGAAAGAAGTGGTGATTGTGTCTTCTTCAGGTGTACACAGCGGAGAGGGCTGCGCTGCAACAAAGGAGCAGCCCGTATCACTTCACACCTGCGAATTACAAGACGGCAGCACTTACAACAAATGGTTCGACTCTTTTTTTGTTTTTGTCAAAGTAAAAAAAACAACATTTCGCTGTAAAAAAAAGAAAAAGAAAAAAAAACACGAAATAGAGGTTTCGAATTACGTCCATTTATTTTCTCTTAAGATGAGAGTGCAAGTAAAGAGGAGCCGTCGTCCACAGTGGGGGAGATCGAAACGAAATCGTTTAATGAACAAAGCAGTGATGAGAACCAGCGAGAGCCAGATGACGGTAAGTTACACCAAGGTTCGCGAGTTTTAACAAATAGAATATGGGCCCTACCTTTTGCAGATAGAGAAATATGATTTTTTTTTTTATGTATTCAGGCGAAGACGCGCCAGCTAGAGCTCAGCCGTCACAAAGAGCCATAGAAAGTCTGGCAAAAGGTAAGACTTATGTCTTTCCTTGAGATTAAACGATTGGCAGATAACAGTATTATTTATTAATAATACGAATATTCATAATATTTATAATTAAAAGAATTAAAAATATAATTTGTCAATAAAATGTACAGTTACAGATTATATTGTCCTCTCTCAGCGTTGCCTTGAGGCAGATTATTTGGCATCCGTCCCCAAAATTACAAAGCTTTTTTTTATATACAGGCCCAAGAAGACCTGCTCGAAATACTCAATATAAATGATCTCCCCATCAGTGTCATTAAGAATAGGAAAAACTGTCCCAAGGAATCCTGCTGTACCTCTTCTCCTCCTCCAACGTCCTCTATTTTGTCTGCTTTTTAGAGGAGCTACAGAAGCAGCTGTTAGAGCAAGTTGAGCTGAGGAAAAAGCTGGAACGAGAATTTCAAAACTTAAAAGGTAAGCTAAATTCATGGAAACCCTGCTCTCCGACTATCTTTATGGCTTTTCTTGTAACCAGACTAAAAAATCCCTCTGCTGTTAAGTGCTGCTCCCCTGTCATGTTTGTGAGTCAGACCAAAGCATCATGCTGCCAGGACCAAATCCACCTCAGTGGAATGCATGTGCTCCTCTCTGCAGAGAAAAACATCTTTTAAAGGGTGCTTCAGGAAGGAGCTCCTTTCAAAACCTTTTAATCCTTCAGCAATGATTTTCGGGGATTATTATTTTTTTTTATTAACCTTCCGAACACAAAACATCCGTGCAGCTTCAGAAACAATTGAAGAAAGTTCAACGTCAACAACAGAAACCAGAAGTTGTTGGCATTATGAATGAACAGAACATTAAAAAAGGGAGGGTAATGTGAAAAAAAGTTACAAAATATCCGTGTTGACATTTTGGGATCACACTGCAAAGTGTGACGAAACAATTCTGTGGGTAATAATAAAAGTAAGTAAAAGCAATTGGATATCTGCATTTGTATTCATAAAAACTCAACCCCGGTGCTGTAGAGATCTCCATTCTTAATATAGAAATTGTAGCCACATCAGAAGCTACATGTGAATCTCTTTAACTGACCGTAACTCTGTCACAAGGGAAACACTCCTTGTCAAATGTCAAATGTCATTTATCTGTGCAACATGGGGAAAACGAATGACTCTGTGTTGCGTTACAAAGGTATTAAAAAGTATTTCTCAAAGGGGTCCATGTAATGCGGATCAGTCTTCATCGTCTTTTGAACGTACACCTAAACAAGGATCATTTAAACAAAAATCTCAAGTTTGACCCGTTTGTTGTTTTAATATATTTGGTTCTCAGCAAATGAATCTCTCTTAAGATGGATTTGGGGCTTGGATCCCTTTCTAACAAAAGTAATATCAGTTCTCTCTGATGCTTAATTCAAAGCTGATTTAACATGAATATTATAAATATTACTACTTTATTATCTTTTTGCATTTTGGATTCATTGCAGTTTGATGAACACAAAGCATGAAAAGACATCTCATATCCTCCGTTTTATATTTGTTCTCTTTTACTCTAAATTGCCAACAATGTGGGTTATTATGCGCAAAAAAAACATTTAAGGATGAAGGAAAACTTCAGCAAAACTGTCTCAACCGGTCCTGGACATATTCAGATTGTGTTTATTTTGAATAGAAGAGGATTAGAATAGACCTGCTTTTACAAACTGTTTAAACTCTTCCTGCGCAGGTTTCTTAAATTTAAATTGACTGAAATTGTTCTAAACTTAATTGTGTTCAAACATCCTATTTGGCTGTTTCCACACCAGCCTCTAAAGTTGTTCTTTGCGTCTTCTTCTTGAGAACAGCGCCCTCTAGAGGCGGAGGATCATTGGACCGGATCAACGCCGTTTATCTCCTAGAAGCAATATTCCTAAATTCTTCATCCAACTAACCTCCCAGTCCTTCAGTTTATATTTTCATATGAGTGGACTGCTCATTAGAATTATTATTAAGTATTCACAGTATAGTTGAATTAACGACGCGTGTGTACGAATGAGGCTTTAATGGATGCTTGCGGTATTATTGCTCACCGCATTACTGACCAAAATGTGACATTTGTTTCTCAGATAATTTTCAGGATCAAATGAAGAGGGAACTTTCCTACAGAGAGGAGATGGTTCAGCAGCTTCACATCGTCAGAGGTGAGAGAAATAAAGCAGAGGGAGCGGATGCAGCAGTGTGGATTCACCGATTTACCCATGTGATGGATGATGGGATTTATGCTCAAAATCCTCTGTGTATATTCGATATCAAGGATTGGCCTGAGTTGTCTGCCGGCTGTAATTTACTATGCAAAATCCGTTAAATAAACGCACGAATCACCCAGCATTTAAGCGGAAAATAGTCTTTTTACATTTGATCGTGCTCAATTTGCTTAGTTCCACTTATTACATAGAGGCATACATTACCATGTTAAATACAGTCATGAATCTACGTGATGCAAATTTCTTCTTTCATTCCGATATTGACCTGCAGCTCCATCAAAGATTTGGACAAGTTCATAAATCAATGTAAAATCAGTGGATCAGCAGTTTGGCAGATTATATTTCTGCAGCATGCAGAAGATGATTCTAGACGGACACCTGTCAGTGCACATTAGACAACATCAAGCAGCCCATTATTGAAACAAGATGCCTTATCGATGCAATATTCAAATCATCAACACATGTGTGTTTACAGTTCATCACACAGATTTACCATCACCTGCAAGTACACTATTGATTGTTTTATCTCCTTCTCCATAGAAGCTCAGGACGCTTTACACCATTTTTCGTGTAAGATGTTGACTCCTCGCCAATGCAGCGGATCCTGCTCCTTCAAATCTCCTCTGTTACCGCCCTGAATCAGATTACTCATTAGAAGGAAACAAAAGACTCCTGTCAGCCCATGGAAAACCTCCAAGGAGTCAAATTAAAAGAAGACTAACTTGTAATTATTTGTAATATTACAAAATGTGTATCACCCCCATCAGTATTTATTTCAACATCTTGCATACATTGTAATTTGTTTTCCTGAAATTATACCTTGATGATATGTATTATTTGTGGCAAAGTGCAATGACAATATATCTCGTAATAGTTCTAGGTTGTGGTTTCGTTATGGTTGTTGTTGTTGTTGCTGTTGTTGTTTTTCTTTTCAATAATGATGAACCAATTAATTGCTCCTTGTCCTCTCAGTAATTAAGCCTCATTGCTGTATTCTTCTTTGCAGGCAAATAGTTTCCTTTAGATGTAATGCACTTTAAACCAATGATGGGAATTACCATTAAAAAAAAACATGTGCATTTAAATAGGTCTACATTGTAGTGGTCAAACATGCCCTTTTGTCTGAAAACATTGAAGTTCTAGGCTGAGGATCACCGGTGAACTAGCAACGTATATTTGAGTAACCTATTTGTTCATGTAGCCTAATAGTCGATTTAATCACTAATAAATATATTTATTTAATAAAGAAATGTGGATTCTTGCCCTCAGCACTTAATTACCTTTCTTGAGCTGAAATGATAATATTTTAACAATTCTATTCTCTAAGGAGAAGCGATTCGCTTCACCTTTGAATTTACGCGAAACGTTCACCTTTGAATAAGTGAAAGTGATGATTCGTTTGTTTAGCTCGAATAACACGAAGCTACCCATGAGAAACACTTTCATTTAAGCGTTCTTTTCTGTTCCACTGGCCATCGAAAAAATGCAACAATCAATTATGTTTACTGTCTAAAAGCTATTCATTTGATCAATTGATTGATTAGACAAAATATTGTTCAGACGATAGAATGTCAAGAAGGAGACAACACAAGTTCCGAGACGTGAAATCTTCACGTTTTGTGGGGGGGGGGGGGGGATTCGTGATTCAAGGTTAAAACAATCGAGAAAAGTATCTTTACAGTCAGGGAAATAGCAAATATAAAAATTGCATGAATATAATTTACGAGCTCGACCTGCAGTCCGATTTTTGTTGTATCTCTTTTATACTTGCAGGACCACATTAAAATGAAACGGTATATTTCAGCCTTAGCCTTATTCCATTGATGCCCCACAGTTGTACGTGTGGCGGCAGCGCCCCCTTCTGTTTCTAGTGAAGAAGTGACACAAATTTGAATTTGCCCTCTCCCTTGAGGATGGCTATTGCGCATGCGCACCAAATGTAACAAGATGGCGGACAGTGCGGAACTGAAGGTAATGCGAGTCCCTTCATTAGCTTGGCAAATAGACGTTTCATATCGTGAGAATTGGATTTCGAGCCACAACACCAGTGTAACTGGACAATAGAGACCCAGCGAATTTCGTTAACAAAGCATATAATACCAAAACAACAGAGCAGTGGGGACCGGCAAACTGTTAGCTGGCTGGCTAGCTCGTTAGCATTAGCTTTGTTATTGTTGCCGACGTTCCGTTAGGCTGCCTCTGCTGTGGGACTCACCTGCAGATAAGGGCATATATCGCTTTTAGAAATATATTTTAGAAATACACATTAGTGGCAACCTTTTCATCCCGCCGACGCTGTAGTGTTAGCCAAATGACATTATCAGCAGTTCCCCAAGTGGAACATAAAGTCTGTTTTTAAATTCGGGCTCTGTCTATTCCCTGGAAGACAAGAGCCATTTAGCATTCATTAGCGTTAACGTTAGTTCTGATATGATGTGACTATGGACCATGAAATACAGCTGCTATCCACAGTCTGGTTGGTGGTTATGTAACCTATATGATGGATTACTAATCTAATACATGAGATTGAGTGTATACTGTACGATTAGGGTTTGTTTGTCAGTTTACGTTGAACCGGCATCACACTGGCGCTGCCGGCTAAATCTACGCTGTCCACGTTAGTCTCTAAAATGTAGGCTATTGATTAATACATAAACGTATTAAAACGCTCATTGTTACACGTTTACGTTTTGATCTGCTTCCTTCTTCGACAAATCTCGGCGCTGTTGACACTGTTCTCCTCATATGAGCTGTTCTTCGTCCATACAGTGTGAAAGTTCATCTCTTTTATCAAATACATATTATTGCGTCACATTTCCTAGTATAAAAAACCCAGATTTTAGAGGCTAGTCACTGTTATTCACAGCACGTTACACTGGTTGAACATGGGTACGTTTACAACCTGAATGAAATGACCTCTGAGCACTCAAAATGTTTTGGTTTCATCACAAAGGCGTTAATCTGGTCATTTTAAGAATTTGTGTTGTTAATCTGATTATCAGCGTTACACTGTACTGTCGCATGTGTTTGGTTGAGAATAGAAATCCTGTGCCATTAGCTTGTTGATGATCCACACACCGTGTATTTTTACTTGCTTACTTATGTGCGGTCTAACGCCAAAGAGCATCTCAGCCAAAACTATCAGAGGTTTTGTTTGTCTGTTAAATATAAGACACAATGATGCTTTTAATGTGTGTCTTTAAACTGGTTAATTAAACCACTTTTTTTTCCTTCACCAGCAAATGGTAATGAGCCTTAGAGTTTCGGAGCTCCAAGTGTTGTTGGGGTATGCAGGACGGAATAAGCACGGGCGCAAACACGAACTCTTGACCAAAGCTCTGCACCTACTCAAGGCCGGTTGCAGTCCCGCAGTGCAGATGAAGATCAAAGAGCTCTACAGGCGGCGCTTCCCAACCAAAATGGTTTCGCCGGTCGACCTGGCTCTGCCCAGCGTTCACTCTGCCTCCACCCTGCCTGCTGGCCTGGCCCAGCTGGGATTTGACAGTCGCGGTTCTGCATCGCCTCTACTGCCTGTTTCTTTACTTGGGCCTAAACATGAGCTGGGTTTGCCTCACCTCCCCTCCGCCCTTCACCCCGTGCATCCTGATGTCAAGCTCCAGAGACTGCCGTTCTACGACGTACTGGATGAGCTCATTAAGCCGACCAGCCTGGGTCAGTTCACCACTTCGCTTTGTAGTAGTAACAGCTCGCTTTTATCTCTACATATTGATGCAGCAGTATGACCTGCTTAGTAAAAGTCTGTCGAGAGAGTTCTCTGCGTGCTTTCCTTCTGACTGTTCTGTTCTGTTTCTTGGTATTTCTTTTGTAGCTTCAGACAACAGTCAGCGGTTCCAGGAAGCGTGTTATGCTTTCGCCTTAACACCACAGCAAGTTCAACAGATCAGCAGCTCCATGTAAGT